CCAGAGGCGAGGGGAGCGGGGGAGCAGCTTTTCTCGCCCCGGAGAAGGCGGACGGCAGGACCAGGCGTCCCACCGCTCCAGTCCTCCGGGGTGAGAAATCCCCGTTCGTAACTGCGGATCCGACATAAGTCGGATCCACGTAACTCGGGGACTGCCTGTATCTGTTGTCTCCTATCAGGCGGTTTACTCATTTCTTACAGCACACTTCTCATCACAACACTTCACGTTCTGTCACAGGCTCTAGGGAGGTTGTGAAAGCTCCTTTACAAGAGGTTTTCACAAAGAGGCTGGGTAGCTGTATGTCATGGATGGTGTAGATCAGTGGTAGGCAATTTATGGCCCATCAGGTAATCTGATTATGGGCCACCCAATATTTTACTAATGTTAACTGCCTTCAGGCACTGCCCCCCATAACTCCCAGTGGCCACTGTTCCATGTTCCCAGTCAATGGGAACTGTGGGAAGTGGTAACCAGCACATCCCTACAGCCCCTTCACCTGCAAGTGCTGCCCCCACAGCTCCCATGGGCTGGGAACAGTGAATGCTGGCTACTGGGAGCTGCACCTGAGGACAGTCAACATCAGCAAAATATCTCATGACCAACAATCAGATTACCCTGATGAGTCACATTCAGGCCACATGCTGTGTCTAAATAATCAGTGGCCAACAAATCATGCATCGTGGCAGGGAGTATGACTATGACTGGCACTCATTTCTAGCTTATGATTCTAAGGAGACTGTTTTACATCCCCCTTCTCTGGCACTATCAATGCAAATGTGTCTTAGTAGTGCTCGACTAAATGGCTGTAGAAAAATCACCAACTAAGTTTTGTTGTGGACTTCAGCCTGTGCAGCTTTTAAAAGGGAGTATAAATATTTTCCTGACACTAGAAAAACTGCAATCAGTTTCCTGGAATTAAGTGCCCACAGACTTGATAAGAATAATATCTGCACTACCTTAAATCTATCTGCTCTTCGAGCATTCCAAGTGCATATTGTACAGATTGGAAAGTGCAGTGTTATTGATGTGTGTTTTGTAGGAATCCCCACACTACTAGCCACTTATTAGAAAAACTAACATATTTACTTGCAGGGCTCACCAAGTGGCGGCGAGCCCCGCTTGCCAACCGCACGGTTCTGCGCATGTGCAGATCGCTCTGCGCCGGCTCTTCCAGGGTGTAATCTACTCGCCCCAGGCAAATAGATTGCATTGTTTGTCGAACCCTGGTTACTTGAATGATTTAACCAATAAACCTGAGCTTATCGATTAATCCCAATGACTACGTGCACGCACACACCCCTTGTTGCCTCTGGATCAGAGGCAGTGGGGTGGGGGATAGAAGCTGGGATGCCCATGGGGAGCCACTTTTAATATGGCCCCCCGGGC